TATCAAAAAAGTGGTTATTGAAACAAGTTATATGGAGTAAAGTTGGGTGTTTGTAAGTGAAAATGGATTCACTGATGTGATGGAGTCATACTTCTTCCTTTTTAACGGAATGTATTTTCTTCAGAGTAACTGGACATGCAGAACATTTTCCTTCTTACCAAACTTTTTGAATCAAAAGAAAAATGAGCTTTATCACAACCTTGTCAGCGAGTAAGTCGGTAATTCTTCATTGGCACTTCATGAAATTTAAAGTGTGTGCTTATATAACATTTAAGGAATCTTGTGAGATGATTTGTAATAGAAACCATGTTTGTTCTTTCTCATTGAAAACCAAAACACAAACATAATTGGGTCACATTTGAAATGGAGCTGGTGATTGGGGACCTCTCTGGTCCACCGTATCTCTTTCTTATTGATGATTGGAAACAAGCAATCTTACATGGGATTTTCAACAGCAGAGTTAGTACAAAATGTATGGCAGACTCACATTACAAGGACGGAATTTAAACCGTGAATCTAACCTGGTATTTAAGTGGAGATGTCAGTAGAGTGATGGGTCCAATATCCATCGAGTTTTAAAGTTGGAAACACGGACTTCTTGGTTATCAAAGAGAGGAAAGAAGAAAGACGTCATCATAAGAGTTTGTTTCAATTTGTAATCTTAGCCCTCTTAAAGAAAAAATTGTCGCAATTTGAAGTGAAGACTGAGGGCATCTAAAAGAGTGGAAGAGGATGGGAACTCAACCTCCAAGGAGGGAGGAGAGGTTAAAAGGCCCAATAGCAGCCATGGACAACGAGAATTCTTCAGACTTTGAGTTCTCTAAAGGCCTCCTAAGGATTGGTGGTATCTTATCTTAGAATTTTGGGAGAAAACTCGAGGCTTTCCCACTATAAAAAAAGTAGTAGTAAATTGAGGCCTTCCATATACCAAGTTCTCAATTTGTTGGAGGGGCTACACAAGGTAGTCAAAGTTAGAATCACCAAAATAAGGCCGGAGGTGAGAGTGGTGGAAAGGATAAAGAATTGATAAGAGAGGTTGAACTTGTAGCTTATTGTGTCTGGAAGTGTTCCCAAACAAGTGTAACATCCATTTTTTAAGTTAAGAAAAAAATCACTGTTTAAGACATTCTCCTGTTTCCTTTCTTTGCTATTGATTAATGAATAATCCCAACTATTTGGGATAGATGTGTTATTGTTGGTGTTGATTGAAAAAACAAAGAAAGTAGTTATTAAATGTAATTTCTTAGTCAGTGGTGTTCATGCCCCAACTTGCGCACACCTTGGCTAATCCACCTTTAAACCTGTTCAGCCTACAAGTATAAGTTGCCAAAGTAATCCTGCTTGTCGAGGTCAGAGCAGATAGGCTCACCCCTAATGGTATAACTGGAATTTGAACCTGGAAGCTCTAGGTTATTACTCAAATGCCTTGACCACTAGATCATCTCCTAGGTTACAAATGTACGTTTTATCCTTGTTTCCATAATTTTGGTCCTCCAAAAGAGAACCAACAACAACAACAACATGCACAGTGAAATCCCACAAAATAGGGTCTGGGGAGGCTGGAGAGGGTAGAGTGTACACAGACCTCACCACTACCTCATGGAGGTAGAGCGGCTGTTTCTGGAAGATCCTTTGCTCAAGTGCATCAATCCCAAATAAACGAAGAAAAAAACCAGTGGAGAAAGCATAATGGTTAATAAGAAAAGCAGTATAAAGTCTACCGGGGAGAAACAATAATAAAAGCAAAATAGTGTGATAACCGAAATACAATAAACAACATATGGCAAGAACTACAAGGGCATGACTAGTTCTACACCAGGCACTAAACCTTGCAAGGCAAGACAACACTTACCCTACTACCCTTCTACCCTAATACACAACCTCCACAATAAATTGAGTTGCCTTTAGCTAGAGCAAGACAGTACTGTGAGTCCATATTCAGTTCCTGATGGAAAAGGATTTTTGCTTCAAATTTTCTTCCGAGTTGAAAGATCATATTCCAATTTATGCTCTGTTGTTTGGTTGTTTTTTATGTATGTTGTTTTCCTCTCAATAATTAATATGGTGGTATAGTGCACAATATAAAATTGCATACTGTTCTAACTTCTATTAAATTTGATGATATATAGGTCCTTGTGGAGTTCAGAAACAAAGACGCAAATCATGTTGAATGGGCGAAAGCTTTGAAAGAGATTTATCTCCCTGGCTTGCGGGATTACGTTAAGAGTCACTTCCCATTGGGCCCTGTGTGGAGTGCTACAGGGAAAGTTGCTGTATCTGCACCACCAAAAGCTCACTCACCAAGTCGTCCCATGCCTCCTCCGCCGCCGCCAGCTTCTCTATTCAGCTCTGAATCTCCCCAGGCTTCATCATCACGCCCGAAGAAAGGGATGTCAGCTGTTTTTGATGAAATTAATTCGGGGATGCCAGTGACTGGTGGTAATGCTCAGCTATGCTTCCTCCCTTTTTAATGTAAGACAGTTTTACCCTTGGGTTGATTTTTTTTTTTTGGTCTAGGATTGAGAAAGGTGACAGATGATATGAAGACAAAGAATCGTGCAGATAGAACCGGTGTCATTAGTGCAGGAGAAAAGGAACGTCGCGTTAGCTCACCATCTTTCTCTAAAGCTGGACCTCCAAAACTGGAGCTTCAGATGGGTCGTAAGTGAGTAAAAACTCTTCTTTCAATGGATCTATGCTTGAGATTAGGCAAATATGTTTCTGACTTTGATGTCTTGTTTCCTCCAAGATGGGTGGTTGAGAATCAAATAGGAAGAAAGAATCTAGTCATTGATGATTGTGATGCAAAGCAATCTGTCTATATTTTTGGGTGCAAAGATTCAGTCTTGCAGATCCAAGGTAACTTCATTTTCCTTCTAATATAAAGTAGTGGCACAACTGGAATGTGTTAGTTTTCAGCGCTCTAACATGCAGATGATCTCATTTGATGTCACACAGGGAAAGTCAACAACATAACAATTGATAAGTGTACTAAAATGGGAGTTGTATTCTCGGTCAGTGATTGATTTCAAAAGGAGGGTTGTTTAAGTATCGGAGGCTATTATGTCCTATACCAAAGTGCTTAATTTGATTTATAAATTTCATGGACAGGATGTTGTGGCAGCTTGTGAGGTTGTCAACTGTAATGGTGTGGAGGTTCAATGTCAGGTATCCAAATAATGCTTCCTCAGAGGTTTGGTAATGTTTTCATTGGAATTTCAGTTTTATGTATAATAACCTCATCATTTTATTTGGTCCCTTGTGTGGGCACTTTAGGGTTCAGCACCGACTATTTCAGTTGATAATACAACTGGATGCCAATTATACTTGAGCAAAGATTCTTTGGAGACTTCCATTACAACAGCCAAGTCAAGTGAAATTAATGTTTTGGTTCCAGGTGCAGGGGCTGATAGTGATTGGGTATGTTCTTTTTTTTCTTTTTCTTAATTATCTATTCATGTATATCTTTTTGTGCTTGGTGCTAACTGGTAAGCATCAAGCTCAGATGGGATGAACTTAGAAGCTTATGACCTCTAAAAACATTGTGGGTGATAAGTTCTTAGTTGAAATGTACCTTTCGAGTGTTTACATGAAGATAACTTGTGCAAGTTTTGGACATATATTTGAAGTTGAAGTCAGAAAAAGAATTGAATCAGAAGTTGGCGAAAAGTTTCATTAGGTTGGAAATTGTGCATGGATATTGGTAGTTCTTTGAAACAAATAAGGTTTGTGAAAGTAGAAGATCAGTGAGTAGAAGTAGATTTGAAAAACTTCAACCACAATTCAACTTGAAATTTTCTTTTTAAGCTTAAATTTTTTTCTCAGTTTCACTAATGCCAACTTGCAAGGTGGAACCTCTTTATGTGAAAGTGAGGTCATTGACAAATGTCACCTTAGTGTTTTGCTACGTGGCAGAACAGAAAAGGAGCTGTATCAACTCATAATCTGAGTTTCTGTTATAGTGTTTGAAGCACTGTTTCTGTATTTCTGGTGGCGTTACATCTCTCTGTATTTCCTGTTTCGATCTAACTAGTTCCTTTTTTGGGGGTATAAGTATTAACTAGTTTAACATATGGACAATTATTGCAGGGGGAGCACGCTTTGCCACAGCAGTTTTCCCATGTATATAAGAATGGCCAATTTGTGACTACACCCGTCTCCCATTCAGGAGGTTAACCGGCGACAATTTCCACCTTCAATTGCATATGCTTTTTCTTATTATATACCAATTTGATTTTTCTAGAAGAGTTTAAAGGGTGGTTGATTATTTTCTTTCTTGAGTGCAAGTTATGTTCTGGTCATTGTATCTTTTGCCTTTTGTCCACATCCCATGTTGGCTATTTTTCCCAAAATGAGACTCTGTGACCTTTTTCTGTGGTCACACGTCTGGCTTCTTTTCTTTTTTTAAAATTATTTTGTATGACGAGCTTGATTTTTGTAAGGTATCAATTTTCTTGGCAGTTATTCCTTTTAAATGTTTTAAATAGTGAAGTGGTCCAGAGTTGTTTAGATAATGTAACACCATTTCTTAGCAAAAAACATAAGCTATAGTCTTATATTGTATTTGACAAGGGGAGGCAATCTCTGTAACACAGATATCCGCTGCCATTGTCCAATTTTTCCTCAAATACGTGCATTTAATGAGAGCATGTTCAGTTTCTGTTGACTTATTTCTCTTCTAGCTAAAACTTGCCTACAAAACAGTACGTTAAATAACAAGAATCAAGAAACATAACACATTAATTGACAATATATGCGCACTATTGTTGTATTAAATTCCAAAAAAACAAATAACTACTTATACATGAACTTAACCAGAAAATTTCTATGTACTCATGCCGCATCTGATGAACAGATACATTTACCACTGTCAGTCTAATCTATGTTTCATGATAGAAGTATATATACAAAAAGAGAAAAAAAAAACTATTTTTCATTACCTAAAATCATCCTTTTAAGTCTAGTATATAGGTATATGTGTTGTGTCTACAATTTATTGCTTAAGATTGAGCCTTGGACTGGACAAACTCACCAGTTGATTCATGTTCACTACTTGTGTATTCTTCACTTGATATTTCAGAATTTTTCAACCTTTTAATATTGCCATATGATGAACCAGCTCCATCACATTCTGAACTTTCTCCTGATCCAGATATTCCTGGCGTTGATCCTTTATATAAATCATTCAATAAAGCAACATCACCTTCTAAAGTACGTACAATCTGCAAATTATATACCAATATATCAATCAACCAATCTTTTCTACGGTGATTTGAGCATAAAAAATAGTACTGGAGTAATAAAAAAAAGAAACTAACTTGACTCATTTTTGGTCGTCTTTTTGAAGAATGTCTGATGGACGCAGCAGCACAAATGACCATGCATAACATTTGTTGTCTATCAAATTTTCCTTCCAAACGTGGATCTATTAATTCATCATAATTTCCACCTTCTATTGCACGATTTAGAATTGGCCTAGCCTGAATGTACCAATTTAAAAGTTAATGTACATTTCCCCCCCAAAATTATAACGACGTAACATTGAAAATCTACGTACCCAATCAACTAAGTTATCACCGTCGCTGTTGACATCAGTAGGACGATGTCCCGTTATAAGTTCCAGAAGCATAACACCGTAAGAATATACATCAGATTTTTCTGTTAACTTCCCCGTCGAAGCATACTCTGGTGCCAAATACCTGAAAAAAATGACATTTCAAATTTTATTCAACTTTTGACTGTAATTCAGAATTATCCTCAGGTTAGGGTCAAGTCAAATTTTAGATTGTTTACCCGAAAGTTCCCATGATACGAGTAGACACATGAGTAAAGTTATCGGCTGCAAGCTTAGCTAACCCAAAATCAGCCACCTGATCGATGATACATAATTTTTGTTTAGAATTTATATTACCGTATTGTAACTTTAAATTATGGTGTAAAATAATATATAATCCTAATTCCTATATATATACCTTGGCTTCAAAGTTGTTGTCCAATAGGATGTTTGCACCTTTAATGTCTCTGTGAATAATTCGAGGGTGACCTAAAATTTATATAAGACCAATTAGCTAGCCTTCAAAGGAAAATTATATATATATTATCCAAAGGGATAATATAATTGACTTACAATCTTCATGAATATAAGCAAACCCTTTAGCTGTTCCTGTTGCAATTTTAAGCCTCGTTGGGAAATTCATAACTGGGTTTCCAGATCCTACAATTATTATATATATATGTAAAATGAGATACATATATATATATTTTTTTAAAAACTTATAACTATATTACAATATTTAACGTATATCATACCATGAAGGTGATATTCAAGAGTGTCGTTAGGAATAAACTCATAGACAAGCATCCTTTGAGATCCAGCAATACAATAACCAACTAAAGACACAAGATGTCGATGATTTACACGGCTTATAGTTTCAACTTCAGTTTGAAATTCCCTTTCTCCTTGTCCACTATTTGATTTCAAACTTTTTACCGCGATCTCTTTACCATTAGGTAAAATTCCTTTATGTACATATCCAAATCCACCTTGTCCAAGAAGATTGGTCTTGGAAAATCCTCCCGTCGCGTTTGCCAAGTCATCATAAGTATAATTTCTTTGGTTAATAAAACCAGAAGATATATTTGATGGCGTTGAAGGAGGTGGAGTTTGTTGTTGTTGTTGAGTGCTTGAGGAGCTTGTGTTGCTCATTGATGGTGGTGGCAGTGGTGGTGCTAATGGCCAATTATATTCTGAGCTAACTCCAGCACTAGTAGTTGGAGGGGGTATCTTAACAACATGTTCGGTAGATTGGACACTGTAGTTGTCATTATAATCATTTCCTGTTCAAATATATGAAACATCCATTGAAAGGGGAAATCACAATAAGCAAGAAAGCAAACAATAAGAGATTCTAAGAGTTATCTGATTAGATATTATTTCTATATATTATCAAGTGCAGTTTTACATTTTATAGAAAGTCATACACTTTATTTTAAGTCACTAATTTCACTTATTCATGATTATCTTTTAAATGTTGTTAGTGTATGCAAAATCAAACACTTTAGCACATTGAGGTAATAAGTTGGACTTATGATAATTAAAGAACTTATGATATACTCAAATTCTAACACTACAAATATATTTCAAATTGTGATCAATGCAAGGAATTATGATAAATATATGTATTGTTTGCATATTTTCTATCATGAATTTATATAGCAAAAAGATGATCTCAGAAAAAATATATATTAATATCTACAAGATAATTAATTATAATAAAAAATACAAGGTAATTAATTAATTAAAAAAATGAAAAAAAGAATAGATTTATACTCTTGGGTCTATAAGAATTGTCCATGTATAAGCCCATTTGATCATGTGGTCTTCTTCTTCTTCTTTTCTTTTTACACAAAGATATGAGGAAAACTAGCATAAGAAGTAAAAATAATCCAACAGCAACACCAATTCCTATAAAAAGAGGTTTATGATTATTATTGTTGGATGAGTCACTATCCTTTTTTGGTAGTGGTGGTGAGTTATGTCCATGAGGGGTAAGTGAATGAGAGCCGGGAGGGGGTGGTGGAGGCGGCGGTGGGGGT